CCTGCCTGAGCCCCACAGCCACAGAGGCCAGCGCCCTGAGAGTCAATATTCCCACACTCCAGCAGGCCCTTTGGTGTATAAGACATAAATGTTTGCTTTCCCATTAAGAAAATAATCCAAAGTTATCCTTTAAGTGGTGTTCACACACCGCTGCCCTTCAAAAGCTAACACGGCTCTTTCTAGATGGCGTGAGGAGAAGGATTTCGAAGGGGGGGTCTCCTGAGTGTCGACAGCCCTTCCACAACTCCGCCTGAACCCCACTTTCATCATCTCCATGCCCCCAGGGAACTGGAAGGAAGCAGATTTTTGAGGAGGAGGAAGGTTGCAGGAGGCCCTGAGCAGTGAATGAAGAGGTGCTCAGCCTCAAGGCATCACACCACACAGACAAATCCCAGCATGCACCTGGGGCGGGGGACATCACAGAGAGACCAACCTAGGCTTAACCCAACACTTCTGAGAGACAGGGTGCTTGTGAGAATTCAGGAGACACTCTAGACCCCAGGCTCTCACATGGCCGTGCTGAAGACCAGGAGGGCGCAGTGGGCATTGCTGAGTGAGCCACATAGGCACACAAGACAAAGAAGAAAGGTCTAAGGCCTGCTCTCTCCAGCCTCTACCAGGTGCTAAGAGAGGCCAGTGGAGTTTTCTGGGCAGGGGGACAGCTCCCTGCCATCAGGTCTCTTTCCCGAACATTCCAGAAGAATCACAGAGCCATGGGGTCCGGTGGCTGCTCTTTCTTGGTAATATCTCCTGAGAAAGCATCTCCTAGGAGTCATGATACACTCTACCGGAGGAGCCAGGATCCCAGGACTGTGGGGCTCTGGTTGTGTTCTTTAAACGCTGACAGAACACTGAGGAGTGTCTCCAGACCTGGGTGCACCTCAGTGGAGCCTCTCCTCACTCCTCAGGTGCCCACCCCCACCACTGGTGTTGCAGAGCGGGATTTGGAAGGAAACAGTGTGAACTCCCCTAGACAAGTGCTTGATTCTGATACAGTGTGGGGAGGAGGAAGGATGTCAGCTGCCCAGGCCCTCAAAACTCACTTAGGGGCTATGGCTTAAGTCCTTGGTCCCCAGCCCTGTGGGAGGGTAATGAGGACTGTGTGTCTGACTGAGGCTGAGGAAGAAATTGCACATTTTCCCACAGGGCCTCTGGGTGGATGGAGAGGCCCTTGGGCCTGGGAGGGCAGAAGAAAAAATTAGGCTACCCAAACAGACCAGAAGGAACATGATTTATGGCCAATCCTGTGCCCACCATGTTGAGGATATGTACAGGTCAAGTCTTTTGGTCTGGTCATGTTTACAGGGCACGTGCTGTGGCCTGTTGTAACACGTGGAAACTTCCTCTCATTCTCTCATTTCCGCTTCCTCCTTCCTGTGAAGCAGCCCTGGACGAAGACTTCCACATCTCCACTCACGTTTCTCACTCCTCCTTGGTCTCCTTTGAAGTCCCTGTGGGTCTGTCTCTCAAGGGCTCACTGACTCTCCGCCACCCCTTCAGTCCAGAGCGCCCTCTCCCACCCGCCCCGAAGTCCAGGTGCATTTCATCAGGGTCCACCTTCCAAAAGTTTCCCCAGTGCAGAGGGAACTCGAGGCAGACACTTGGTGAGAACTAGCTTGATTTGGAGGTGCGTGACCCCCTCTGCTGCCCCCATGGGTCTCTAACCACACGGGTCCCTCTCCTCTAGCTCTTCCTCTATCTTGGTTGCTCTGAGTGGGAGGGAGATGGTGGGAACACTGGAGAATGCTCTAGATGCATGGTCTAACAATCCAGGCCTGATTTGTTGGGGGAATGAGTAGTCCCTACCATGGGGATTCTCAATCAGACCATTGCTGGGGGAGGTTATCTACTTAATGTCTCTTCCAAGACATGCGTACCAGCTGGAAATGGGAATTCCCTGCTCAGACGTATCAGGAGGTGCCAGTGATGCCCACTGGCATTGCAGGAGCCTAGGAACCAGCCCTGGCGCTTCCTTCCTGGCCCTCAGCCATAGGCCCCTGGCAGGAACTGGTAAACCAATTCCATCCTCTTGTGCCAACGCCTGGACTCTGGGCCTTGGTGGAATCCAAGTGGAATGTTCCTGAGATAGTCTGATGGCTCCCAGACCATGACAAATGGGTCAGGAAGCTGCCTGGGTGGTCCTCACCCCAGGCAGCAAAACCCTGACCTTATCTGTCTACTTTAGGTAGAAAGTGGCACCACAGCCTCTTGGGAACCCGGCGGCTGACACGCAGGAGCCAAGCGGCCTGGGTAGAAAACCCGGAGCACATTTTGGATCTGTCAGCAGCTCGTCGTGTTCCGAGAAGGACTGAAGTGTGGAAAGTGGAATCTGTCTTAGGGTCAGTAAGCAGCTCTTGAAGGGCCCGGCGGTCACAGCGTCAGAGCACCCATGATGCCCCAGGGGCAAGTGGGATGGCTTGCTCAACTGCGTTTGTGTGGGAATTTTGTGTAACTTTCACATATCTTGAGATAAGTCTCCCCAGCCAAGACATTAAAAAATGTAAAGTATGTCTTTTGCCTATGGTCAGCTTGACCTTTGGCTTTGGAAGTGGACCCTTGATGCTGCCCAAAGTTACCCACACTATACGAGGAGAGGTGATGCATGGAAGGGACTCCTTGGAGTCTACACAGCTAAAACCCTGTCTTCACACTAGAGGCCAGTTTCAAGGGATGCTGGTGGCCGTGGTCACCAGCCTGGCATTATAAATCTCATTGGCTGTGCAGTGCCCCTTCTCTTGGGGATCAGGTGTTGCCAGCTATGATGCTGGGGTGAAACCCATATTGAAAACCATTGACTGAACTGTAACTAAGCACATTGCCCAAGCTAGATAAAGGTGGCCCTGCCTCTCAGCTGTGGTGACTGGGCCAGAAATAGATACCAAGAGAAATACTCAGGGTTCTTACTCCTCTGAGGTCTCTGAGTCGTCCTCCATGAACGCCTCAGAATTCTGTGCCTGAACCTCTCCCCCAGGATCAGAAGAAGAGGGAGGGAGGGCAGCCGTGACCCCACTAAAGACCCCACTTTGAGTTGACTTCTTGCTTTCTGCCACCCCCTGAGTCTGAAAGTCCATGCCTTGGGTCCCCTTGGCATTCAAATGAGCTACCAAGATGTTCTACAAAAGAGGGCATTCCCAGGGCTAACGGCGATGTAGCTTCCAGCAGTTCAAGGACTGATCCCTGTGGCAGTGACACCGAGGGAGTCAGTCACTTGTATGAAGGTGAGCAGGGGCACAGAAAGAGCCTGGTGGCTCAGAGGAAGGCACCAGCATACCCAGGGGAGCAGGTACACACATACCCAGAGTTCCAGAATTCCTCCTTATACAGTGCAGACCCAAGCCTGACTTGCTTGGACTGGTCTCAACGTCTACAGTGGAAGGGTACATTCCCAGCAGAGGAATGGGTGGGTTCTCTCCATAAGGCTGCCAGTCATAGCTCAGGTCTACTTTTGACCCATCGAGGACAGCTCAGCCATGCTGGCTTCCCATCACTGATCCAAGATGGCTTCAGGTGTCAGCAGTCTCATGGTCTGCAGTGGAAAGGTATGTTTCCAGCGGAGGGTGGCTTCGTCACAGTTCAGATCCACTCTTGACCCCTCCAGGACCATACTGACCTCCCGTCATTGAACCAAAATGACTTCAGTAGTGGTGCCAGAATATTCCAGAGGCCCAGAAGCTGTCACTGACTATGCTGTGTTAGAAAAACAAAAACCCAAAGGATAGGAAACGTTCCCAACTCATTTCCCCTTCTGGCCCACGACTGCTCAACAGGACCATTCAGGAACCTAAACTTGGCACCTGCCTGCTGGGAGCCACGCACTTCTTGATGGGATGAAGCACTTTGGGGCAAGTAGTAGCTGGCAGGAGCAACTGAGTTCCTTGGAGCCTCTGCTGTGAGGCTGTGCTGTTCTTAGGGGAGCTGGGGCTGAGCTTGTGGAGGAAGGCCCCAGGACCTCCAGAGTTGGACAGCTTCCTGCACAGAGCCCACACAACAGCTTATCCTCTGATTCTGAGATGGGAGGATGCAGAGCAGCTAAGCCTTCTGCCATCAGCCACGATGCATCCAAGGTGGACTCCATGGGGGAGGGTTAGCCGATCTCAGTATCTGGCTATGCGGCTCGTGCTGACAGACTCCAGGAGCCTTGCTGAGGACCACCATTTTGAGCAAAGGATGGAGATAAGAGAGTGATCCCTCTCACCCTTTGGGGGGAAACGGAGATGATGTTGTCAAGCTTTGAGCTTGAGGTGTCAAGACTGGCTCCGGGGCTTGGGTGCAGCTCAATGCAGGGCTCTTAGCTAGCGTGCTTGAAACTTGACTTCATCTCCTACATTGCACAAAATATAGGCTGCTGCTCTCCTGACTTCTGAGGTGTTATTTTATACTCTAGGGGGAACTGTAAAGGTGAAATTTGGGGGCATGGTTATGAGAGGTTACTGTGGAGGTGTGGCCTCTGCTTGAACAATCAGACCAGCGTGAACACTGGACAAAGGACAGAGCTGGCTGTTGGTTCAAGGGAGGGAATTTAAGCAGTTGTAGGAAACTGTAAAATGCGTTTCTTGAAGCCAACACTGGCTCCTTCCTCTCAAATGCCTTCTTGACTTGTAGAATATTCCAGAAACTTCTCCTTCATGCAGGAAGCCATTATCTTTGCAATAACCAATTCTGAGTGTCACCCAAGGGGAAAAAAGGGTAAAAACAGTGATTTTAAGTATTTGCCTTCTTAATTATCCATTAACTACAATGTCTGGTATTATAGTTTTTAGCATGTGTTTGTGAACATGTATGGACTCTATCGACAGTGAATCAAATTCATTAGCTACTATATGCTTCTCTGTACTTTCTAAGCAATGTAATATGTATGGTTTCCACACGGGGGGGGGGAGTCCTCTTGGCCATTTTTTTTTTGAAATTTGTATGCTGTTTTATTGTATGCTATAGCCAGTGTATATAAAATAGTTAAACCTTGTGAAACAGAAATCCATGAAAATTCAGAGAGGTAGATGTTAAGATCTGACAAGTAGAAGATTGTATATTATGGCACGCGTTATAGAGAAGCTTTTGTACAGACTTCAAATTTAGTTCTCTTGAATGTCCACTGGTTCATGAAAAGTGGTTTGAGAAATCTCAAGATACATGACTACAAAAAGGAGCAGACTTTCTGGGGTCTGAAGGGATTTGTACTTGAAGACACTCCAGTCAGCAGAGGGTCATGTTGAGCATTCTGCAGACAAAACTGTTTCAAGTCTGCAGCTGCCTGGGAAACCTTCACGCGGTTGAGCCCGGCCTCCAGCCGGAGCTGCTGAACCACCTTCTTCATGGCGGCGACGCTGGAAGAACCCGACATGGCGCTCGGGACAGCCGTGCCGACTCGTCAGGCCAAGCGAGGGGCGGCAGGTCGCGGGCGGCGGGGCGGGGGCAGGGCTCCCCCTCTTGGCCATTTAACTGACCTCTCAAGGATTATGACTAAATCAAGAAACACTCTGGAGGCTGAAGGTACCTGGGCCATGTCTGGGCATCAGCTTGGTCATTCTCTCCATGCCCAAACTCTCGTCTCTCCTCTCCTCTTTCTACCATATGCAGTGGGAGCGTAGACACATATTCACACACATGCATGCATGCACATGCACATGCACACACATACAAACACACGTGCCAGACCCTCTGTCCCCCCACTGCAGGCAGTCTACAAGCTAGAAAGGAGAATGGTCAACATATATTCTTGGGGGAGGGTAACACGTGGCTGGGGTGGACCATCTGTCTAATACCCCCCCACCTCCACACATAACCAGTGTTCTGAGCATTGAGAGGTGGCAGCTGTGGACACAGTGAATTGTGATTGTCAGAGACTGTGGGAGCCAGAGGACGGAATCCAGTCAGTTCAGACCTATGAGTAGCACAGGATGAGGAGGCAACGAGGCATGGGAATGACTCATGACTCGGGACCATGCGGGGAGAACTGGGCCTTTGGGATCATAGGACTCTCAGAACTGAAATTCCATTAGTTCTGGGGAAGCAAGCCCCTGGCCACCTGTCAGGGGGGAATTCAGTGAGGGTTCTAAAGTACTGCTCTGGTGAGGAGTGCTGAGAAGGGGTAGGACTCCAGGTCTGTCTGTCCTGAGTCTTCCACGCTGGACCTCCCCCTTTGCATAGCGGCTGAGTCCTGGCTAGAGCCTCTCACACAGGCTGAGGAGGCAGCTGGGTTGAGCCTGACCGTGGAGCTTTGTCCTCAGGGCAACGTGTTCAGCGCAGCCTAGGCTTGTTCATGGCCCGATCTTACCCAGTACTTCCCCCACCCCCCCTTCTCTTCCCATCTCATCTTAGAGTGCTGTGGAGTAAGACACAGCACCTGAATCACGTCCTGAAATGGGGTAGATGCGGGGCTCCAGGTGCAGGGGCTTGGGCCAGGCCACAGGCCCCCTAGGAGCCATGTATGTGGGTCAGACTGTTTCTTCCCGTATAAAAATAATTCTTCTCCGTTCACATAGAATTCGCATGAAGAGCATCATAGGAGGCAGAAGGGAACGGCAGCATGCCGTCCCTGCAGGGGCGGCACTGCCAACATCCTGAGTCACCTCCCTCGGCCTACCCCTGCCTCTCTGCATTTTACACGCACAGTCTCATGGTCCATGTGCTGATGGGTGGGCTCTAACCATACTTCCTCAGTTCTGCTTCCATCTGTCTGACACCTGTCACCTCAGGCTAGTCACCCCAGGACAGCTGATCCCCCCCGGGGCTGGTAGACTCTCCGAGTGAAGGAATGGCTGGCTCCACAGTGGTCAGTCCCATTTCCCCTTCACTCACCTGCACACCTGACCAAGGCCAATAGAAAAATCCACAAGACTTCCAAGCTCGCCAGACTTCCTCAAGCCAGCAAATCTTGGTGGATTCCCCACTACGGCAGTCGGAATGAGAGGTCCTGCATAGGCTCATGTGTTTGATACACTTGGTTCCCTGTTGGTGGTGCTGTTTTTTTTTTTTGGGGGGGGGGGAGGGGTGTCTAGGAGACGTTGCCTTGCTGGAGGAACTATGTCACTAGGGCTCGGCTTTGAGGTTCCTCAGGGCTCTCTCTCTCTCTCTGCTTTGTGCTTAGGGTTTAAGACGTGAGCGCTCAGCGTGGTCCAGCCACCATGCCTCCTACTGCCATGCTTCCTCTTATCCCTTTGGAACGGTAAGCTCAAATAAACCTTCCCTTCCACAAGTTGCCTCAGTCAGTGGTGTTTTGGCACGACAATAGAAAAGTAACCAAGACGCCTGCCTTCTATCTTCCTTCCCTGGGAAACTCAATGAGGACTCCCTGTACCTGTTCTGCCTGACCAGACAAGCTCTTTTGGTGCTGTGGGGTGCTGGTTGGCCCCTTCTGTTGTGAGCAGGAAGTCCTCAATGGCATTGATTTCTCTACCTTGACATTGCACCTCTACAAATCACATTCTGGGGGACTGTGTGTGTGTGTGTGTGTGTGTGTGTGTCAGAGAGAGAGAGAGAGAGAGAGAGAGAGAGAGAGAGAGAGAGCATCCATGCATATCTTCTCCAATAGTTTTCCATCTTATTATTTTTGAGTCTCTCATTCAACCTGGAGCTCACCGATTGACTGGACTAGCTGGACAGTGAGCTCTGGCACTCAACCAGATTACAGTCATGCGCTGCCATGCCAAAAACTTTTTACATGGATGCCTTTGCAGCCCAGTGAGGCAAGTCCCCTGGATGAGGCCTGAATATGCAGGGGCCACCTGGCACAGACAATTCAAAGTGACACAGTGGGACACACACAGAAAGCTTGAAGGTCGGGACTCAGGGATGCAGGGATAATGCATACCCACTGCCCAGGGAGCCCTAACGCTGCTGGATCAGAGCCAATGGAATGACCCACCCTCATAACACAGCCACTGGTGAGGTAAAGCTGCACTGTACACCTCCTGTGCCTGTCTCCTGGTTCCTTGCTTTGTTTCTAGGGGACTGAAGCCCTCACACTCACTTCTAGAGCCCTGATCTTGGTTGTTCAGCTAGCTCTGCTGGGGGACCGCAGGGCTGTGGGGGAGGGGCAGTGCTTCTTTCTTCTAGGTGGCCATGGCCACTAAGGTCAGAGAAAGACCATGCCACTGTGATATTGCAGGTGTTTGGGTTCAGTAGGAACCCACTGGGATCTCAAGGTTTCTGTGTTCCCAAGCAAGGACTTGGACAGTGTGAACGTTGGTAGAAGCAGGGACATTTTCTTAACAAAGAGAGAGCATTTCCAAAGAAGGAAGTGGGTTGGAGCAGGGGAGAAGGTTATCAGTTCAACAATGCCATGCAAAAGACCCGGCTTTTACACTGCGGGTTTTCCAATGCATTTGCATAGAGCAGGCAGGCTTTTCCTGGAGTGCTCTGTCTGTTACCTGCCATTCTTGGAGATGGGGTCCCAGTCTCCCTCTCTGCCAGAACCTTTCATATGCTAATTCATAGCCCAAGTGTAAGGTTTTGGGGATCGCACTCTCTGCCTTATTCTCCTGCCTCAACTAGAGGTAGCCCCTTGTCAACCCTCCACAGCCATGATTCTGGGAGCCCAGCAGTGACAAGGGTTTAGCGGGGCAGGACAGTCCTGGCCCTCGGGAGCTACTTTGGTCCCTCCAAGCTTGCCCACGGCCTGAATATCCACCAGCAACCATGAGCCATCTTCTAATGAGACACGGCCTGGCCACAGGAAGAGCCAGGGCTCTGTCCTGTGGGCAAAGCTTTGGCACACGGTGTAGGAAGAAGAAAGCTAGGGTGTGGGAGAGAGCCGTCTCTGTGTAGCTGGATTAGACAACAGATACTCTCGTGTTCTCTTGTGAGTGCCACAGTGACCGTTCTGCCGGAGCAGGGACCAGACAAGAGGGAGGCTTCAGAGGACATATTCCCCATGCTCCTTTGGTACCTGGGAGCCTTGGCATGTATGCAAAGCCATGTCGAGATGCACTGCTTACTCAAAGACTCTCATTTGAGTAAGCTGATTATTTACAAATGATCCTGGCACTCAAAGGAGGGCAGGAGGCTGGCAGGCTGCAGCGTGAAGGTGGGCCATCCTATTGCCTCTGATTCGATGCCTTTTGAGGTCTCTGGACATCAGATCCAAACTGGTCCCGGGTCTCTGAGTCCTTCGGGCCTCCCTAGCCCCACCAATGCAACGCATCAGAAGGACAACCTCCACTTACAGCAGGCCCTTGCTCAACTCAGGGCACAGCCCCCAGCCAGGAGCCCGGGGCTCATTTCTCCCAAGGATGTGGATAGGGTGGCTCTCCCCACCTTCTCAGGCCTGGAGGAACTTTGTCTGGGCTGGCGCCTGAGTTTGCTTATCTCACCATAATGAATGGGTGCTCCCAGGCTAATAACAGGCAAGCAGGGATGCCCTGAAGAGCTAACCCCACGATCTACTTCAAAACCATACACTGGCAGGGAGAGACACTGCTGATTGGGGTCTGAACAGCTCAACCTTTTATGTTTATGCCACTGTACCCCCTAGCCAACCAGAGAGCCTAGACAGATGCTCTCGTTGGAGTGTAAAGAAAGCCACTTAAATCAGAGGCCCTACTTTGGACAGTCCCTAAAGCAGTTGACATGTCCACACCATGTTGGCCGTCTGAAGAGGGCTATGAGGAAGGACTGGGCTGCTGGGTCAAGGCCTTCTGTGTTGGCTGGGACAGAGTAGGTTGTCGGGGGAGGTTCAAACCACTGTGTCTTAAAAAAAAAAACAAGAATTCTTATTGCTCTCAAAAAACGTGTGCATCTTGGGGCTGGGAGGAAATTAATGTGTTTCATTCAGACTAGTTGAACTGGTGAGCTCCAGGTTCAGTGAGAGACTGTCAAAATACAAAAAAAAAAAAGGGTGGAAATCAGTTGAGGAAGACATCCAAGCTGGCTTTTGGCCTCCAGATGCATGTATACACACGCGCTGTGCACGCACCTGTATGCACACACTCTCACATGCACACAAACGTGCCTCTTGACAAGTGGGTCACCTGCTGGAATGTGGCTTCAAGTCCTTGGTGTCAGACTTGAGGCTGAAGCTTTGCTGAGAGCCAGGCTTAACCCCTCCTGGGGGCAGCACCATCTGTGGGTCCCAACCAGATGTTTCGTCAGTGAGCCCGCCTAAGAGTGTGGTACCCACTGCTCTTTGCCTTTCTCCCCTGTCCTCCCTGCCACCAAAATACACAGACCCCCCCACAGGGGTGACAAACAAAGCCCTCATAGCTCACTCTGGCTGCAGGTTCCCAACTTCTCATATGACCCTCCCCAACCCTTACTCCATACTTGAAAGGGCCAGCCGGGGATAATGCCACTTTTAGCTATTTACGACGCCCTTGGAGGCTGGAACTCTCTGTCTATAGTCCTGCAGTGTTTAACTGCAAGTAATCGAACCCTTAGCAAAATCTTAGAGGCTGAATTTGAGCACAGTGACCAAACGTGGCAGATCAGGACTAGGACCCACCTGTCAGCCTTCCATGTGCTGTGTGTGTCATTTCTGACCCAAATAATAAAGCGGAGGGTGCTGGGTTTCTCACAGAAATAAGAGCTTCTCTCAAATAAATGGGTTGCACCAGCAACTAGTCACTATTAATTAAATGCAGACAGACAACTTACCTATTTAAAAAATAGCCCATTTATTAAAAGGCAATTAGTAAGGCTGGATTCCCGCTGAGAACCCTGCTGCCTTGGAGAAAGGGGACCCAGCAGCACCCCCCCTACTTACAGAAAGAGGAAGTCAAAACTGGCCAGGACTTGGGCCCCACAGACCACTGCACTGTGTGGGTGAAGCTTTGAGGGATCTACCCAGGATTGAGGAGGGTGCACAGGGTGTCTAAGGGTGTGGATGAGGCACATCTGCAAGGACCGTGCTTACCGACTATAGTCATCTCCTTTCGCACTGCACACGGCATTGCAGCTTTGCTGTGGTCCGTCCTGGTGGAAGGCGTCCATTCACGGCTTCCCAGTGGCAAGTATTTGGAGCCCTGCCACACAGATGGAAAAAGCCGAGAGGTTAATTAAACTGTTTGTTATCACATGTGGAGTTGGCTCTGTGGCTGGGAGCTGCAGGGAGCCCTGACTCCCGATGACCCTGGCTGAGTCTGGGAAGGCTGAAGGATTCAGCTTCACGGACAGCTCCCACGCCAGCTGGAGAAGCCCCCGGGGCGAGTCTGTGGCGTGGCTTTCTTTCCATTCCTGTAATTTGTAATTCCTTTGTTCCTCTGATTTACCAGGAATCCAAAGATGACTCTGTCAGAAAGTTGAGGAGCAAATTATTTATATTAAACTATTTTCTTCCTCTTTCCCTCCTTCCCTCCTTCCCCTCCTTCCTTCCTTTGAGACAGGGTCTTACAAAGCACAGGCTCGCCATGAACTCACTGGGTAGCCAAGGATGACCTTGAACTGCTGATCCTCCTGCCTCGGCCTCCTGAGTGCTGGGATGACAGGCTTAAACCACCTATCTGATCCCTCTGGCTTAGGGATCGCTGGGGACTGAACTCAGAACTTCGCACATCTAGATAAGCACTCGACCAAGTGAACTACAGCCTCAGCCCTGATTTCAATTGTTTTGGAAAAAAAATTGGAAATTTTTTTTGGAAAAAAAAAACCCATACATTTCAATCAACAAAAGGACACATGGGGGCAGTTTCTGGACAACGCCATATTTTTAAATCCTGGGAAGCATGGACTGCACCCCATTTCTTCATCTCAGGTCGCCTATCCATTTTTCCTGACTTACAACCTGTCTCCTGGGAGTGCCAGCAGCTATAGGTGAATACCTCAGGAGGTCATCTCCAGGCAGCTAGCTGACCTACCTAGGGATGGAGGGAGGGATTGTCCCTCTTCTACTGGAAGCTGGCGGGGGTTGGGGGTCACTCTCAGTCTGTGTTTCCCCCAGAAGCAGAGCCTGGGGAGAAATCTTGTGAAGGTGATTCATTGCAAGAATTGACCCCAGGCTGTTGTGGGTGAATTATGTCCCCCTCAAATTCATGTTTCCTTCTTAATCCCCAGTGCCTCAGAGTATGACTATTTGTACACAGGGCTTTTTTGTTTGTTTGTTTTCAAGACAGGGTTTCTCTGTGTAGCCCTGGCTGTCCTGAAACTCATTCTGTAGATCAGGTTGGACTCAAACTCACAGAGATCTGCCTGCCTCTGCTTCCTGGAGTGCTAGGATTAAAGGCATGCGCTACCACACCCACCTGGACACAGGGCTTTTGTGGGTAATTCAGGTAACCTAGAGTCCCTGTAGAGGGAGGGGGGAGCATCTGATCCAATCTGCCTAGTGTCCTCACAGAAAAAGAAGAGCAGGGTGCAGAGCCACCAGAGACGTGTGCACTGGAGAGTTTGTATTGCATCTTGGAGGTACAAAGTAGGAAACATGTCTTGGTACTTCTGTGACATCCCGGGGTCTGGGAGGTGGCCCAGACCAGTGAGGAAGGCCTGGAGCATCGGAAAATCTGCCCAGGTGTTGGCAGCAAACGAAGAAGCTGAGGCTTAGAAAGCAGGAATTCAAGGTGGGCAGAGGTCCAGCCTGGGATTGGGGGCGACTTGCTGGCTTCTAGACAGACTTACAGACCCAGAGATCCACTTCCTGCGACCCAGTTGTGTGCCTTCAGGCCCTGACTCTCAGGACTTCTCAAAAGGGAGCGGCATGCCCGGCTGTGCCCTGTGCCCCAGGCCTTCCCTGTCACTCACTGGGACGAGGAGTCAACTTATTGCCATTCCATTCCCAGCAGAGGCCATGCCCAAGGTCCCTGAACAAGGTCATTTCCTTGTGGTTTTATCCTAATAAATGAACTGGCTTGTGTGACCGCAGCATTCCTTAGGTGCTTAGAGTTACAGAAGAAAGAAAAAATCTTTTGCCAGCAGTGACATGGCCCAGCTCCTTTGCCCATGTACTCATGGGTACAAGGACTAGACCCACATGTAACAGGTACATGCTTATCTTTGGCTTTCCTGAAACACAAGGCAAGTATCATGGGACTCTCGGGGGAGACGTAGGTATCTGGACATCTGGAAGCTGAAGTCAGCCTTGCCTTGGTGGCCACAGGGTCTCCTTTGAGGATCCATCGCTGAGTGACATCCCATGTTGTCAGCTTTGTGACCTCTGTGTGCCTCAGTTTTCGCCTCTGCACAGGGGAGGGCACACACAGCTGTCTAGAAGCAGATCTAACATGCCCAGGCAGAAAGCCCTCGGTGGCCTTCTTCTCCTCTGTCTCAACATCTACATACAACCCCCACTTCCTGCTCAGGCCATCAGACCCCCTCTGCACAGAGTCCCCTAGGACCTTAGTCACCAGGAACATGGAATGTCACAGATGGCTCTGCAGGAGGCCTGGGTGGCTCTGAGTGACTGCAGCAACTCTATCCTGCCCCGAATGGGGGTCTTGAAGTGGCTTGGGTACCACTTCTTCCACATCTCTCTTTACTTATAAACAAAACTAGCCAATTCCACGTATTAAAAGAAGTTGTCTCCTTAGGTCCTAAGATGGCATCGTGCCTGTTCAGCCCTTCCCATTTCCACAGAGATGGGGACAGAATCCAACATGGATAGACAACTTGACTATACCTCAAGGAGAGCTGAAGCCAGATTCCATCATCTGACCGACCCATCCAGATCTCTTTCTAAGAGAGATTCAGTTTCCCCTTCCCTGGGAACTGTCACTCCAACACCCAACCCCATCTCGAATGCCCTGGCCATCCTGGTCCTTTAGATGATAATCTAGCAGAGTGAGGATAGGACTGGGGTCCTAGAGACATTGGATGTGTACGACCACAGGAGCAGCATGTACCGCTGAGTCCAACGGATGGAAGCAAACAGCATCGTCTTCCTTCAAATATCAACAAAAGATGGAACCCAGCAGCAGCGAAGTGACAGACAGTGTTCACACCTGCTGGTGGGGGCGCTCTACCACAGTGGTGCTGAGGAGACGAAGTGGCCCCTTACAGAGGCCTCCAGCAAAAAGCAAGCACGGTACTATGAATGACAGGGTCCACCCGGGTCAGCTCAGCAGCAGAATCCTTCTTGAGGTTCTAAGTCCTGGGTTTTATTGGGTTTTGGTGACAATGCTTGGAGCTGTGTCACCTCTCCTTTAGGGTAAGAGAGCAGGGCTGGCCTGCTTGGACTCTGGAGAGCTGTCCCCGCTCATGTGTTGAGCAGACAAGGTCTTAGTGAGGACCTGGGGTTGGTCCCTTGGTGAGCAGGGAGGAGGGGCAGCCATTATAGGACCTGAAGTCATGGTTGCTTTATTTGACAACGGCATGAGAGTTTTTTAAGCTCTCTCTTACTTAACCAGCTCTGTCCTAGGCAGGGAGACGGCAGGGAGCTGGTGGCTGCCTCCTAATGGAACACTTGCAGTTTCCAACCCCCCAGAACCCACCCATAACCTGCTTTGTCTCCTTGCACAAGATGAACCCCAGTGAGCAAAGGACACAAAGGACTTCGGGGCAGCGGATCCTCTTGAAAACACTGACAACCCACACCGCAGGCAAGTGCCCTCCCCTGCTTAACTCAGGCACCATTTAGCGTTGTGAATCACTGTTCCCACGTCTCCATTTGCTTTCCACGTTGAAAATGTCCTGGGGTGGGGAGGGCGGCTCTCACCTTGAGTGTCCCCTCACAGACCTTTTCTTCCCTCTCAGGTCGTACTTCATGACGGTCCCTCTTCAGCCGTCACTGGTGACGTCACCCTTGTTCTCCTCACGTCAGCTGCTCAGTGACCCTCTGCACAGGTGCATGCCCCTGTTGGGGTAGGGGCACCCCACCTTCCTCCCGCCAGAAGCAAGAATTGCTCTTCTGAGGAGCAGAGCACCAGCCTTCCCATCTGTTGTTTCCTCCGCCAGCCACTTTCCAGAAGCCCAGGGGCGACACAGCCAGCGGGTGGGCACCCTCCATCTGCACCACGCTGCCATCCGCCTGGCTGTGCGTCAGCCACGGCACTGTTGCTCGGGCTCCGGAGCTCTAAAGGGCACTTTGTTCCAAGCCCTGGTGTGTGCCTGAGACGAAGCCTCATTTTGTAAAAGAAGCATGATCGTGCGGCCAGCACACTGGCACTGGAGGAGGGGGCTAGCAGTGTGGTCTGGCAAATTACAGGCTTTCTTTTATTGCAATTAAAAGAGAGAAAAAAAAAAGAGTCCTCTGGGAAAATGAAGTCTCTTTTAATTCATTTGAGTAGGAAGATGGGCATTTTGTGGTCTGTTTTCTGAAGAGAGGGGGCACCCCTGTGGACTTTTTTGTGATACACTGGAACAAAGGTAATCACATAAAAATCTTGTTCAAGCTGGGGCCCTTGACAGTCACCAGGATGATGGCAAGAGTGGTTCCTGGCCACAGGACCTGCCCCAGCATGCTGCCACCTGAGCATAGCTGATGCTGGCCTGTCTTCATTATCTCAGACTCTTCCCCTCTGGGCTGTGGGCTTCCTGGATGTGGCTCTGGGGCTCGTTTCTCTTTGTTCTTGGACCAGAGTCTCAGGTTTGTGCAGTTTGTTCTAAAGAGACCAGCTTGTTCAAGATGTCAGCTCAGCTGCCATGAGAGACAAGGGACTGCTGACATGACACCAGAGCCTTCCCTCCCCCAGTCACCTGGATCTCCTTAGCTGAATTTCTCCATCAAACACTACAAAATGTGTGTCCCCAGCATCACTACCGACTGACTATCCAGTAACTCCTGTGTTTTCTGTGACTCTAGAGCAGGACTGGAGTGGGTGCTGGGTATAGACTCAGAGAGGCACATCAGGCAGCTGTCAACCCTACCCCTCCCAACCACCCAACACATCTAGGTGAGAGAGAGCCATGTAGAATCAGTTCAGCACCCATTGGACGGCAGGGCGTCTCCCATGATTCTCAGCACCCATTGGACGGCAGGGCGTCTCCCATGATTCTCAGCACCCATTGGACGGCAGGGCGTCTCCCATGATTCTCAGCACCCATTGACTGACAGGGCATCTCCCATGATTCTCAGCACCCATTGAATAGCAGGGCATCTCCCATGATTCTCAGCACTCATTGGACGGCTGGGCATCTCCCATGATTCTCAGCACCCATTGACTGGCAGGGCATCTCCCATGATTCTCAGCACCCGTTGGATGGCAGGGCATCTCCCATGATTCTCAGCACCCGTTGGATGGCAGGGCATCTCCCATGATTCTCAGCGCCCGTTGACTGACAGGGCATCTCCCATGATTCTGGCAAAGAAGAATCCAGGACAGGAAGCAGTCTTGGTCCAAATGGAACATCACACAGGTGGACAGAGGTTCAAACTGTGCTTAACAAACACGAGTCCATCTAAGTTAAGGGACCCCACTTGTGTCCCTTGAATAGTCCTCAGGACAGTGGCTTGGAGAGCCCACATGGGTTCCAGTCACAGTCCAGAGATCAAGCTGTAGAAGGGAACAGTGGTCTCAGCTCCTGTTCTGCTCGAGAGCTTACAGCCATACATCCCCAGGGACAGAAGACAGACTCACCGCAGCTCCTTGGCTTTTCTTATCCCCACCACGCAAATTTCTCCCTTTGGGTTCAACAGGGTTAGTTGACCCTGTGAGAAAAGAAGGTGCCCGTGGCCTTGGCTCCTGCTTCTGTCCTTGGGAGAATAACTGCCAGGTCCTGCTGGTGGCCTGTGGGGCCAGATTGTCCCTGCTGACAATGTGGGGGCACAAGAAATGTGGACTGTGTGACTCCCTCCAGTAGTTATTGCATTTTCATCCCATCCCCAGGACGAACAATGACAGCTGACAAAGTGAGCAAGAAATTAAGAAATTAAACTTGTGACATAAAATACAAAGCCTTAGAGAAGCTGATAAAAAATAAATAAAAAAGACACACTAGAAGAAAAAAAGAACAAAACAGTCGTGGCTGTGTTGAGCTCCACATCATAGCTGCATGCAGCTCCTGCTGAGGTAGCTCCAGGACCTGTAAGAGGTACACGAAGATCCTGAGAACTGGTCTTGACAAGTGGGGACAAGAGGGTACCACGAAGGCAGTAGAGTCTAGTGATGGCACCTGAACAGGACGAGAGGGGATGGAGGGAGCTCCCATCCAGACAAGCCTGTCCAAGCCTGCGTGTAACTGAGGTTCAGGAACTCCACGCTTCGTACAACACAGGCATCATACTAATTTGCTAAGTGACCTCCTACTCAAGGTGACCTATGGGAAGTGGGTGAGGGGATACAAAGTTCCTGGGTCTCCTTTTCCTCCTTCCTTCCCTTTCTCTTTTTCACTCTTCTAAAGCAAAGAATAATGAAATAGTCACGTGGTGGGTCTGGGAGTCGCGCGCGCGCGCGCGCGCGCGTGTGTGTGTGTGTGTGTGTGTGTGTGTGTGTGTGTAATATATAACACATATCTATCAAAGAATAATTGGTTGAGCACTACAGAGGGCAGCAGGCTAGGCTGCTCCTACCTAGCTCCCGTCTGCAGCTGGGCACACGTTCTTCGGCACACTCCCAGGCGCACGGCTCGTCAGTGCCGCTTCTATCAAGTTGATGAGGAAAATGGTTCCTGGCAGGCTCGCCTTTGCCTAACCATGGAGAACATTCTGTGACAGAACATCTCACCCCGGGATGGCAATGACTCACCTCTGCTTGTCATCTGAGGCGAAAAGATGTCCTCAGTGAGGACAGGCAGCCCCGGCGTCAGCCATGTAAGCACGGCGGTGACGGAACGGCATGGTGTCTCTCTCTCTAGTTGTTGTCAGCTCAGAACTGGATTATCTGAAGGCAGAACGAGGGGACAGGCTTGAAACGTCATTTACAGTATTTAACTATATGTAATGAAATTATAAGAAATAATCAATTAAATGTGATCTGTGGGCTGGATCATATACCTTTAATGGAAACTGTCACATGGGGCAGGAGGAGGCTCCCATTCAGTGACCACATGGGGCAGGAGGAGGCTCTCATTTAGTGACCACAGGGTCTGGGTCCAGGAGTTTCCTAGGATGCCAAGTTCTGATGGCTTAAGACCTTGTGGAGAATGGCATGGGTCTCCATCTACCCTGCATAGCCACCGTCTCTACACAGCACAACGGACACACCATGGAAGAGGCTGCTGCTCTCCAGTACTTGGGAAATAAACATGGAGGACAAGGTCTGCACATACTTCATGCAGATGTAATTTTGCCCCAAATGTTTTCCATCTGCAGCTGGTTGACTCCACAATGGGGAACCCTTGGACATGAAGGCTGCCTGAACAGGCTCCACATCAGCTCCAGTTCCCTTGGTTACAAAGGTGATTCTCAGCTCAGTCTCTGGGGTGGAGAGTGGGGGATGGCAGTTAGGTGGGTAGAGGCTCCAGCACCCCAGCACCTCTGTGGATCACTCAGGGCACTGAAGGATGATGGGAGAGACCAAGAGCCCACTGTTGATCCAACATTCCCCTGCTTGGCCCCCAGTCCTTCCTACTGCTCATGGGCCTGGCTCAGCTGCTTAGGGGCAATTTTCTCCTACAAGGCTTCTTTGGGAATCTGGAAGCCTCTCTGACCCACTTGGAGGCTGCGTTAGGACAGCAAGAAGGAAATGGACTCTTTCTTGCAGGAAACTAAGCCTTAATTAGCATTTCCTCCCTTGCCAAGTTGGGGACCCAAGGGCCAGGTACTGCAGAGGAAATGACAGCTGGGCTGAGTTCACAGCTGGAATGGTGTGCCCAGGGTGAGCCTGTGTGTTGGAGAGGGAGAGGGAGGCAGTCTCTTCTTTAGGGACCAAACTGCCTGTCTGCGCCGCCTCCGCCAATAGTACCACTCCAGGCAAAGAAAGCTGAAAGGGTCGTCTGTTCATCTCAGCCCAGAAGCCCAGAGCGTGGTCCCATAACAGCCTTCAATTAAGGCAGAAGGCTGGCGGTGCATTTGCATTTTCATTAAGATTAATGAATCATGCATGACTCACTGTGGCGGAGGAGTGGAGAGAGAGCTACCATATAGAGGAGCCCCTCCATAGTGACCCAGCATGAGCAAGGACCCCCACATTGCAGCATCTCCCACAGGGCTTGGGCAGCCTGCCCTCAAGGACACCATGACCCTTCCTCGGTCACGTGACTCGGGGTTTCTGTTTCTCCACACAAGGAAGTTCTGGGTGCCGCCACACACCAGCTTATCCCATGGATGTCAATAAATGTGACATTAAACAAACTAGGTTTGAGAAATGCCAGGTCAGACAAAAGCAAGCAGAGTCAGGCAGAATTTTAACAACAGAACTTCTCAGAGACACGACCATGCCGGCGTGTGCCGGGAACCCCAGGCTCATGTGCACATTGAAGTGTTCTCTCCAGACTCCACCTTTCGATGGGTATAGGATTTCCTGTGCTAGGCAACCGACAGTCCAGAAGAATGCTCTGGCATGGACTTGAGCAGGTGACAGCTTTGCTATCCCCAGGAAGAGGATGTACAGGATACAAATACTCCTGCGCGCGCGGAGAGGAGGGAGGGGGTCCTTCCAGAGAGTGTGCTCTGGAGCTCAGCCCCCACCTGCGATGGCCGCCCAGGCCTCTCCGTCCACGCCTGCTTAAATGCCGAGCTCTCTTTACAACACCGCCCTACCTCCCCTCTTCCTCGTCTGTGCCTGTCTCTGTCCTGTGGGGTGTTCCTGTCATTTAACAGGCTTTGAGAAGAAGCAGAGATGAAATTGGAGGTTTGCCTGTTTCTGTGGGAACCAACATCCTCCCTCTGCTCGGATGTGAGGTGTGGGAGCCTTGCCCAGGCTCTGGAGGGAGCAGGCAGGTGGAGGCCACAGAGAGAAGTGCTGTACAAGGGGCACACGGATGCCTCGGTGACCCTCCTCTACAGGGTGAAGGTGCTACTATCCTTGAGGGGCACTGTTTACCTTAGGTATCTGACCTGTGGCCTGAGGACAGTCTGAGCTGTCCAGTGCTCAAGGAGCCTTAGACTTTGTTTTGTCCTGAGCCTGGAATCTGCATCTCCAAGAGCGAGGCAAGAAGTGAAGGACGGGAGGCAGGCACGGCTCGGGTTGGGAGCTGGGCCTGAGGAGAACCAGTTGCCTGGAGGTCAGACCAGAAAAGCACAAGGGACCTTGATATGAGCACCTACCCACCCAGCCCTGCTGAGTGTTCCCAGTGACCTCGGGGACACTGTGACCTCTGTCGTCACTGCAGCAAAGCCTGTGTGAAGAGTGATAAGGCAGGGCTTACAGGGCAGCCCAAGGCTCCCATGGCTGTCCTTGTCCCCAGAGGCCCCAGGGCACAGCTCCCCCGAGCACATGGCACACAGTGCATTGTATGGTACTGACCTGGCGACAGCTGGGCTCACCCAGAAGTTAGTTTTAGGGTCACTTTGGGAGAGAGACCTCTGGGAGCTGCTCACCTTAGGGACGCTCTCATCCACACGAACAGTCCTTGATGACATTGTCACAACACCCAGCCAGTGCCAGTGTGATGCAGGCACCCAAAGGACCCCTAGAGCCCTCCTCTGTTGAGGTGTGCTTGGGTGAGTGGGGCCACTCGCCCTGAGGATCTGCTGCAGGGTTGCAGTGGAGACAGCCTTTTCTTCGTCTTTTTAGTACCAGCATAGAGCTTGGCACACGGCGACACACCTGTTGTGTCAGCACAGCTGGCACAGCATTCCAGCTGGACGTCTTGTACCTCCCAGGGAGAGATCACTCTGGTAAGATGGGTGTGACCATTTAGAGCCCTAAGCCACTCACTAGAAGCCCAGGGCCTGTACAGACAGCCTCACAGGCTCTATCCTTGGCCTGCTTAAGACTAGGCTGGCTCTGTGCCTTATCTACTAAGAGTGTGCCCTTGACACTCTCTAGGGCACAGCTGGAATGTGGGGCTCCAGGTCACTGTGCCTTTGTCCCTGGCCACCATAGCCATCTGCTCCACCTGTACCGGGAGTCTCCTGTAAGAGTTGGGTATGGTTGAGACAGGCATTCCCTGGACACCCATGCTGTGGGTGCCCCTGCTGCTTCAGGCTGGGGATCCAAGATCCAGGGAAGCTGGATTCAGGGCCCAGTGGTGTTTGTTCCCTTCTGAGAGTCTGGGAGACTGGCAGCTCCAGATTTTGCAGCATCCTCATCAATAGAAGCCGAGACTGAACCCTCAGTCCCCCCTCACTGCAAGGAAGCACCAGGAAGCCAAATCTTCACACCACCGCCTCAGAAGACACCAAGTCCACCATGCAGCGGGCTCCCCTGCAGCACGGAAGAGGCAGAAGTTTGGGGAGAGAGTACATGAGGGGGACCCATCCTGCAGGCCTCCTGGATCGGAAGTGTCAGGCCGGAGCCCAGCATGCGCACCCTATATACCCAAAGAACTCAAATTGGTTTTAGCAAGAAAAAGCCAAGTGTTAGCTCACATAATTGGAGGTCCAGCGACACTTGCTTCAAGCACAGCTGGACCCAGGAGATCACAACTCCCTTGGTAAAGAGGCTCTGCTTTTCTCCAAGAGGGTGCAACTTCCAGAAAAACATCTTTGCATGGTGGCCCGGCTGCCAGCTCAGCCTGGGAGCCTTCATGCTTTAAGTCCAAAAGAAAAGAATAGCGTCTCTTCTGAGAGGTGGTCTCACCCTGGAGCAGTATGGAGCTCATGTAGACCCCTGTGTCCTCTGGCGTGGGCTGAGGCTGAGGCGGAGTCAGCCCTAGGTTAGATGGCTCTGATTGGCTGCCGGTCAGGTGTTCTACTTGAGGTGTTTTAGGAGTGAGATTCTCCACAGAGGAAGCAGTGGAGGTGATGTGGTTCACACACCTTTGGGAAATGGAAGGGGTAAGGGAGGGAGCGATGTGGGGCTGAGAGCCTTCAGAAGACTTGACAACCAGGCTGAGTGGCAGCTACTGGTCCACCTGCCCTCCACTCCCTGCAGCCAGCATTACCATGGCAACAGCAGCAGCATCCAAGGCTTCCGGAGTGTTTCTGCTTCCAGAGGCGGCCTTTACCCTCCCCCCCCCCCCCCCCCCCCCCCCCCCCCCCCCCGGCTCCCTCTCTCCAGGCTTCTGCCTCCAGTCAGTTGGACTTGGAGATGCAGTGTCCCTGAGGAGCCTGAGCCCCACCAGTCCTGCCGGGTCTCAGCTGGGGAACCAAGGCGCTGAGACAAGCATGGAATGTTAACAGTGAACTGGTAACTGCCCTGGGTTGCAGGTTGCTGAGGTTTGACCTCCCTGGGCTGGCTACTGTCTGAAAAGGGACAGGGATGGGGGTATATTTCTCCCCAGCCCCACAGCAGCTGGCCTGGCCGACTTCTGTCCTTCATAGATCTCCCTGCACCCTCAGAGTAGAGTGTAGACCCAGTTTCAAGCCTAGGGCTCTGGGACTGTCTCTCCTCAGTTCCTTACATTCTAAACCATCATGTGGAAGACTAGCTGTGAACTTCCCAGTCGCCTCCAAGTGCCAGATCAGGGTTAGACCTGCCATTGTGTAACTGGAAGAACATTCCAGAACCTTCTTCTTGCTGCTGAGGCCCAGAACCAACTGGGGCAGTTGTCCCACCAGCTCATGCACCGAAGTCAGGCAGCTTGATTCACCTCCCTTTCCCCAGGGACTCATGGTCCCTCTTCCTTGCTGAAGGAGGACTCGACGAACACTCCAGTCAAGTGCTTGGCACTGTCTGTCACACAGTCATGGAAAGACACCCTGAGCCGGGCGATGGTGGCGTGCACCTTTAATCCCAGCATTCGGGAGGCAGAGGCAGGCGGATCTTTGTGAGTTCGAGGCCAGCCTGGTCTACAGAGTGAGTTCCAGGAAAGGCGCAAAGCTACACAGAGAAATCCTGTCTCGAAAAACCAAAAAAGAAAGAAAGGAAGGAAGGAAGGAAGGAAGGAAGGAAGGAAGGAAGGAAGGAAGAAAGAAAGGAAGGAAGGAAGGAAGGAAGGAAGAAAGAAAGAAAGAAAGAAAGAAAGAAAGAAAGAAAGAAAGAAAGAAAGACACCCTGAAAAGACAAGGGTGTAAGGAGTACCCAGAGCACTTCCTCACCAGCTTTTCAGGCTGAGCAGGGATATGAGTTGGCCCCTAGCAGGCAACAGGACTTCTGCCCCTTTCCATAGCTGGCCAGAGCCCAAAGCTGGTACTCAGAGTGGATGCCAGAACAGGTGTCCACGAGGGTAGAGTGGTCCGGAGGCTTTACCACATGCCCTGAGCTGGGCCCTACCATGTCATCACTGACAGAACTTCAAACTCTGTTCTTTCTGCTAACATCAGCAGCAGCCATGCTTCTTGCCCAGCTACCGGCCCGACGTGGCCTGCCTGCCTGACGGCACTAGGGTCATCTCGGCCCTTTATAGAAACACAGAATTGCAGGCGATGCCCAGGGTCAACCTGCTAGCCGCTCAGGTCAAGAATATCCGTGATAACCTGCACATAGACCAACTTGAAGGGACACCAGGGAGCAGGAACGGTGACTGTTGCCTGTGGAGAATTGGAACTTCATCTGCAAGTAACATAGCCTGGGGGCGGGGGGTGCTCATGGTGGAGCTGGGAGGGGTGGCTTCACTGCTAAACTGAGTAGAGCGCAGGCCTGTAAATCAGACACATGAAGGATGATGGGCATAATGATAATGTGGGGCTCAAGGAGGATGAGGGGTCTGGATGGGAAGTTTTGGCTCCGTGGGATCTGCAGGAGCTGGAAGGCCAAGGGTCTCTGTCTAAGAAGTCTCTAAAGTGAGTCATCACTCATCAAAAGGCCAGCATGCCCACAGCCACCAGAGATGAAACATGGGCTCAGGATAGCGCAGGTAGCACGGCCCCTCCCTCCTCACAGTTGGAAAAGGACAGAACTGGAGGAGGAGAGAGGGCAGGAATTAAGTGGTCCCCAGGGTTCTCAGAGTTAGGCAGGCTCCTCCTAGCTATATGGGATCCCAGCAGGCAGTACAATGGCAGGCAATGATACCAAACTGCTAGGAGGCTTTGTGGGGAGCTGCCAGCCTTCTAGAAGCAGCAGCTTCCCTGGCCCAGCACCTCAAGGACACATGCTCAGGGCTCAGTTCTCTGCTTCAGTTGTGCATGTGGTCATTGTATATGAACCCACGTATAGGCAGGTCCCTTAATGTGGCTGCCAATCACCATAGCAAACTCCCTCATGCAGCCCTGTCTTAGGGTTGCTATTGCTGTGATAAAACACCACGATCAAATCAACTCAGGGAGGAAAGGGTTTGTTTCGGCTTACAACTCTCAGGTCACACTCCATCACTGGGGAAACTCAGGGTGAGAGCTCAAGGCAGGAACCTGGGGCAGGAACTGAGGCTGGGCGAGGCTGCTTGCTGGCTTGCTCCCCTTGGCTTTCTTATTGTGCTTTCTTATACGACCCAGGACCACCTGCCCAGGGATGGCAGTACCCCCTGTGAGCTGGGATCTCCCACATCAACCACTAATTAAGAAAATGTGCCAGGTGGTGGTGGCACACACCTTTAATACCAGCAGGCGGATCTCTGTGAGTTTGAAGCCAGCCTGGGCTACAGAGTGAGTTCCAAGATAGGCTCCAAAACTACACAGAGAAACCCTGTCTTGAAAAACAAAACAAACAAACAAAAAGAAATAAAGAAAGAAAAAAAATGTACCACAGGCCAATCTGGTTGGGAGCATTTTCTCAATTGAGGTTCCATCTTTCAAAATGGCTCTAACCTGTCTTAAGTTGACATAAAAAATGAGTACAAGTCCCTATACCCTACGACCAGCCCATCAGTTTCCTGTCTATACAGTGAGGCCATCTGGTGAGCCAAACCAAGGTTGCTGGAGCTGTTCATATCCAGGGGTGTCCCCAGAGTCCCCAGGACACTCAGACCTGGGTTCCCAGCCCCCCCCCAGGCCACACCTCTGCACAGAAGTGGAGGCAGCAAGAGCACACAGCCCTTTGCCATGCCACCAGCCTGAACTTCCCTCTCCTGTCATACTGCGCTCCATTCCCACCTCCACCCCTGACTTCTCATGGCTTCCTGTGAGAACTTACGTGAATGGGCCACTGGGCCTTGCTCTCCCTTCAATACTTCTGTTGTGCCCATACTGGTTTTGAGACACCATGTATGGCAAACACGTTTGGTGTCTATCTGTCTTTGTCATCCTATGGCTGCACCTTCCTAAATGGTCACTTGGGAGTTTCCAGTTGGGATGGTTAGACCAGCACGCTTTGGCTCAATTCTGTGTCCTGGTGCCTCAGTGTGTTCCCACCTGTTCGCATGGCTATATAAACGGGGCTGCAGAGCTGCGAGTATGTGTTCATGTTCTGAGTGGTTCTAAGCACAAGGAGTGGACAGTCATCAGGGAGGAGCCTTGCCAGGGTTACAGAGCCATTGTTTCTGGAGGACAGAGCCCACGCTGCTCTGCCTCCCTGCTCTGGTGCCTCTACACTGCCAGGCTGGGCCCCTCGGCTGCTCATCTGGGGCATCCTGGGCTCTCCAGCTGTTTAGCTTGATCCCTGGAAATGAGCTCCTCCAAACCACGTAAGAGGCCAAGGACGGAAGCCAGGCCAGAGAAGAGTCTGCAGGGCACAGGAAAGCAGAGTTCTGTACGCATAAGCACTGCAGGTACATGCAGACGGGCGCTCACAGACCCGCTGGAAACTTCGGTCATTTGCCGTTTACCTGTAATCGGAAGGCACTGCCCCGGGACCCTCCTGCATGCTTCCCAAGTTTCCATGGGTGTTCAGAGAACTCTGCATGGCTCTTTTGCTTGGCGGGATGGTCCTCAAGCCTAGAGGCCAGTGTTGTGGAGAAGCTCTAGGCAATGTGGGCTGCTCTTCCCTCTGGCCTCTCTGGAGAAAGAGGCACCTCTATGTCATGGTCCTCAAGACCTATATATAGGAGGTGCTAGCCCAGAAGATGAGGGAGGCCAGAACTTCTCTTAAGAAGCTGTGGGGTATAGCTAAGGTCTTGAAAGACCCTTTCTCCAGGTAGCCATGCCAACAGAGAACCTCAGAGGTGGAAACTGAGATAAAGAGTGTGTGCTGGGGACCAGATCATGGGCTGGGGTGGTTGGTTTTGTTGGAGAGGAAAAGGGAGTGTTAAAGAGCCAGGTGTCCCCCCATGCCTCACAGAGAGGCACCACGTTCCTCTTCCTGAGGCTTCCCGACCCCTTCTCCTGCCCTCTCAGTCCTTCCAGAAGCTTCCCTGGTCATCTTGCTCCACTGCACAGGGCTGGGGCAGCAGTGGATTCTGGTTTAGTGAGTCGATGCTTATTCACGTTGGGGCACTTTAAGCTGGGTCTCTGTTTAAGAAAAGTAATACAGCGCCAGGTGGTGGCGCACGCCTTTAATCCCAGCACTAGGGAGGCGGAGGCAGGTGGATCTCTGAGTTTGAGGCCAGCCTGGTCTACAGAGTGAGTTCCAGGCTGCATAGAGAAACCCTGTTTTGAAAAACCAAAAAAGAAAAAAAGAAGGGAAGAAGAAGAAGAAGAGGAGGAGGAGGAGGAGGAGGAGGAGGAGGAGGAGGAAGAAGAAGAAGAAGAAGAAGAAGAAGAAGAAGAAGAAGAAGAAGAAGAAGAAGAAGAAGGGAATGTCACCCAGAATCCCAATCACAGAATATACTTAGGGTTGGAAAAGTAGTCAAAGTGGACGGAAATTCCACACCCGTGATGAAATCCAGAAAAAACGGCCTCAGCTTTTCTCAAATAATGGACAAGCAGCTCTCAGCAAGCTCTGTGGCAGTGTCCTCCTGGACACTGGGGCCTCTTCACAGAACGAGGCCTAATCTACCAAGAGTCTGAAGCAGTTGCG